AAAAGCAGCAGGCTAGTTCCTCAGAATCGCTACAGAGGGTGAGCACGGTCAATGGACGGGGTTGTCGGGTTGATGGTTCAGGTGATCGAATGTGCTGAGGTCGAAGACGAGTAGCGTCTTCGACCTGGCTTTATAGTCCTATTGACTCTACAACAAAAGTAGGCGCACTACCATAAAAGGGAGGTTGCGCCACCCACGAAATGTGTCTAAACGGTTACACCCTAAAACAGGTAGAATTGTAGGTGGCACGTAGAATTGTAGGTGGCACGTCCTTAAGGGACTCTATCGTTGATAGCTAAATGTAGCCTACATAATCCCTGAATTGATATTGATAACATAGAAGTGTGATATCTACTGTAGTCTAGTCAATGAATCTAACACAGGCCGCCTGCAGAGTAAAATCACAATAGAGTGACCCCCTGGTATAGTGACTTTTGCGGTACAGTGACCTTTGGCACTTATTTTCTTCGCCAATTACGCGATTCCAACCCAGTTTCCAACATTTCAAATTTTACAGTGACCACCGCGACTACAGTGATCCTTTCTGCTATTGTGACCCCAACTTCAGTCAGGGTCACTGTCCTGGAAATTGATTTTCAGTAATAATCAGCAGCAGTCAGCTCAAGACAACTACATTCCGCTATCAGTCCCGAGTCAACATTCTCGAGCCCAAGAGCGGTCGGCATGACGGAGTTAGGAGAAGAGAGGTTTCAAACCCAAGCCAAGTTGGCAATATGCTCAGCAAAGCCACCGTCCTTCCTTCGTTTAATGTTCCGTAAAAAAGTCACTTATGCGTGATTGTCGCGAGTTCTTAGCTTTAAACGCCCTTATGCGATTAATCTCAATCGCCAGTAGATTAGACAAGTTGTGTTGGCTGTTTGACGACGCGTCATGAGCAGCCCGTATCATTAAATTCATCTCTCGCTCCAAACATTGAGCTGAATGCAAATAGCGAGATATTTATGGCCGATCCTGCACTCGTGATTCTTCATTTTCTGACTCAGAATCAACCGTTTCGGCTGCATCCTCTCCAGCACGTATGTCACCTTCGCCTTCAGGTACAAAAGGCTGCAGTGAATCACTGAATGCAACATCCATTGCGTTTTCGGCAGACAGTGGCTGGCACGTGTCGACAAAAGACTCCTTCCGTAACAAAGCATTGAGATCATCATCATTAAGTGAACTGATTTCCGGAAGCCTATGCAGCATTTGAGCCTCTTCAACCGTAACCTCAATATTCTCTCGATCCCATTCAGAAACTGTATTCCCAACAGTCTCCTCCAACGCTGCTACTGTACTCGTATTTTGCGATTCGGAGGTGGATAGCCACCTTTCTCCCTTTTCACGTGCTGAAGTGGCCTGTATCCGGGCAGCTGCTTTTTCGGTTAATAGACTGCTTCCAACTTCTGGTCGGAATTCAGGTATAACCGAGTCACAATCGACACCGGATTTAATACTTTGTACCTCTTCATTTTGAAAGGGGGCCGGTATATTGGTGGAAAGCCATGCATTTAGGACCACACTCTTCGGCACCATGTTCCATGCCTTCGCCATTAACACGACTGCATCAAATGTCGTGACTGGTTTTCTTAGTTTAAAAACAGGTCTCATGTTTGCCGGCTGTTCCATCATACCGTTTACGTAATCGAGTATGTGTGAAGCTAGAAGACGTCCAAACGCACATTTAAACGATCGACCATCAGATGCATCAACAGGCTGTAAACACGATGTCATATTAGGTGGTAGGAAAACTGCATCAATGTTTGGGATCATTTTATAGTCAATACTGTGAGCAGAGCAGTTGTCAATCACACCTGCCAAGTGTCGACCTTGCAGTGCAGCCATCTTATCAAAACCTTTAGCAGTTCTCTCCCAAAAGATTTTTGGTGTTCCATGCATTCGATTGCGACATGTAAAAAATGCCTAAATCTTTCATGGAGTCGAAATGCCTGTGAAAGCTTTTCGGATGCTTGGACTTGCCTATAATTGTAAGCCGTGCTTTTTGTCCATCCGCAAAATATGTAAGAACCGCCGTCAAGCGGTCTTTGACAGGAGTGTATGTTGCTGGCTGATTCGCTTGTCTTATAGCACGGCTTGGAAAAGATCTGTATAATATCGCGACCTCATCTGTGTTAAATATGTCACGTATATCATAAACTGCAAGCTGCTGTCTCATTAAACTTCTTGCCTGGGCAAGTGTCGCGATGTCAAACGAACCGTTCTGACCCATTCCTCTGGAGCTGTTCCGGTTATTCCGTATCATAAATTTCGAGATCCATCCGCCACTTGCCTTGAACGCTTTTAGCTCCGATATATGTTTTACCACCTTTTGTACCTGTGGGTCAGTCTGTTCCCCTTCACTCGCTTTTTCAGCCAGTGACATGACCATTTTGTCGCGAATCTTGAGAGCTGATTGCGACACGATGTCAGCTCGGAATAAAGATTCCCCTCTCATGTAAACGACGCGTTCCAACATATACTGTAAAAGAGCCTTCTCAAGGTTCGGAAAGTGTCCTACTGTACATTGAAACGTGACTTCTTTCGTGCCTTCTGCATCGTAGTATCTACACTCATGATTTTGGCAGCTTGTTTTTTCCATGCCATAACAGCTGCTTTTGAAACGCCCATATATCCTGCAACAGTTGTTGCGTTCCATTTTTGTTGAGTCTCAATGTCAAGCTCAGCATCGCCAAAAGACGCGTCTAATCGAACCCCGAGCAAACGAAGCGCCTTTTGTTTCTGTTGGAAGTCGGTTTGTTGGCGCTTTTGGTCCCATTTGCCGAATTTGAGTGGTTTTTGGAGTTGCATTGGGAAAGGGTATAGTTGGCAAAGAAAGAGACGTCTGGCATGCGACTCTATCTTTAGGCTATTTTTGCAGTTTAATACTGCGATCCTGACGAGCTTTTGTGCTGCGTGGCAGTGAAATGTAACGGATCTCATGGGGATGTTCATGTCATTGCACTGTTATCTCAGGCGCTTTCTCAAGTATGCTTGAAACGCTTTTGATTCCTATACATGTGGACACGTATGAGCCATTGCACAGTGACCCCCCCAATTTAGTGACCCCTTGGTGTGCTAAGGCTCGCCATCTTTGGGGGTCCCTGTATCGTGATTTTACGCTGTATTCTTGCTGCGTGCGTGGTGCAACCCCCAACACATCCCAAACCACGCATTTCCACAAATTGTGATGTAGAGGAAGCGCGGCGCTCGCTGCATATGCATGGACAGCAGAGGGGAAGGGGGCGGGGAGAATGACAGAGTTTGGCAGCGGCAACCATCACCCATGGTTGAGTGAGTGGGGGGAGCGGAGCAGGGGGGCGTGGGTGGGTGAAGCAGGGCGAGGAAGCGGAGACGAGTTGGCACTCAAAGGCGAGGGGGGCGTCGTGCGCAAGGGCGAAGGCGGTGTAGCGCGCGAATTATCGGTGGACGCGCTGGATTCGCTTCCGCCGTACGTGTCCGCGTAGGGCGCGATCGTAGTGACGTGGAACGGGTGCGACGCGCGAGGCGACGGAGGGAAGCCGACGGACGACGATGTATTCTTCTTCTTCGTCGTGTGTGTGTGTGTGTGTGTGTGTGTGTGTCCTGTACGAAAAATAGACCCGTTTAAAAAAAACCTTTACTTAGAGCATCTCCACCGCGCAGCCAGAATGTTGCTATTTCTACGACACTTGTCCGACTTCTAATTGGTTATTCTCTTTGGGCACTCTGTACGGGAAAGTATCGCAATTTGCGTCGTCGCAATTCGTCGCCGGAACACCACCGCGCAGGTAGATTGCTATTTCTCGCCATGGAGCCTCTGAAAGAGCTCGAAGGCCTTGAGGAGCTGCAAAGTGCTGTGACAGAGGGACCAGCTCTTGCGACGCACGTAGAGTCATTTGACTTTCCATTGGACGAAGACGATGACGAGTTCACTATGCTGATGTGCAAGCTGGAGGCGGAAGCTGACGAGAACGACTTCGATTTGCGACGTCATAGAGGGTCAGCACCTGAGAAATCTCCCAATAAGAAGCGCGACTTTGATGGTATCGTGCTGAAACTACGAAAGCACTACTTTGGCGTCGATGGCATGCCACCTGTTTACGAGAACACCGACTTCTCCAGGCGTTTTGGAATACCGCGACGCGTTTTCGACAGACTGTACACCGCGCTGAGTATGCGGCCGGAGTTTATCCGCAAGGTTGATGCTGTAGGGAAGAGCGGGATACACCCTCTCCAGCGCATTATCGGCGCTTTGCGCGTGCTTTCGTACGTAGAACAGAGACCCCCGGAAAGCGCGGATAGTGTTCCGGAAAGCTCGCACTCCAATATGCCTCCGTCGGTTCCCGCGTGAATGGTGTTTCGGTCCCCAAATTCAATCATAATTCACAGTCTTGTTGCGCGGCAGCACAAAAACGTGGCCACGCAAAGTGGCGATAAAATACGATTTGCGACGAAACTGGACGCATTTCTGAGAAAAATGCGTGCGCTCAGGTGGCAAATCGTATTTTATCCAAGCGATTTGGCAACATCGTCGCGCGGTGGTGATGACAAATTTGCAAAGTAGGTATATTTTACAATATAGCAAACATTTTGGGCCGCGTTGGAGATGCTCTTAGAATACAAACATGGGCTTGAGTGCTTCTTGTTCGTTTTTAACTTCACAATAAATTTGCAGATTTCTATGTTATGATAACGCCTAGTTGCGCTCGTCGCGCGCAGCGCCGGGGGAAAGGAGTCGCGAGAGTGGGAGGGGCGGGGATACTTGGCAATGGGCGTCTCGGGACTTAACGCAGGCATTCGGGAAGGGCAGTAACATACCCCGGAGGGTCGCGATACCGCCCTCGGACTTTGATATCGCCGGATTTCGAGCTCGAGCTCTCCGACCAACCAGAGAGGACAGAGCAAGCAGCCTCTACTGTACTAAAGACTAAAAGCTCCAACCGCAATCCGATTTTCTCCCCTTTCGCTCCATTCCCTTTCGCTCCATTCCCTTTCGCTCCATTCCCATTCGCCATGCCCCGATGGATGCTTCCGTCCGCCCCAGTCCGCTCTCAGTGCGCTCCGCGGCCTCGTCCCTCATCCTCTGGGCCCGCTCGGAAGCTTCCCGTCCGCACCCCCCTTCACACGCTTCTCGACTAGCCATCCCCGTCCACCCCGGACACCCTAGCGCCCTCGCCTGGCTCCGCGCTCAGCGCTTTCCACAAAAGCTTTTCTTCCGGTCCCGCTCCCTAGACTTCGAGGTCGCAGCCGTGGGCTTTGTTCACCACGCCACAGGCCCGCGCTTCACCCGTGACGCCCATCTCGAGCTCCTGCATATCCTCGCCCCAGACGACTCTACGCAGCGTTTTTATGGCGCCGCTCGCTTTGATGACGGCCCCAATTCCCGTCGCGACGACTTGTGGAAACCATACGATGGCTACACTTTTGTATTGCCCGCGGTCGAGCTCTACAGAGACCCTGACGGAGGCTTCCACCTCGCCGCTAACTTTTACCCTCCCGCTGGTCTCGATCTTCTTACTCGAGTTCTTGTTAATATCGTCCCTACTCCACTATCTATTTTTACGTCCAACCCAGCCGCCTTGATCCCGCGCGCCGACCGAGTTGCCGATTTGACCATCTTTCCCGATTGGCATGCCGCAATAACCACAATTCTCCGCGACCTTTCGACTGGACAGTACGGCAAAATCGTCCTCGCTCGACGCAAGCGCTTCAGCTTCAATCCCCACGCATCCCCAACACCTGTCCACATCCTCGCCGCCCTGGAAGAGCAGGATGCCCTAAAAACACGCCATTTCCCTCCCCTTAATGGAGAGACTCGGCCACAGGACTCTGCCGAGCAGCGAAACAGCTACCTTTTCTGTCTCCAGCTGGACCATCGCTCTGCCTTTCTTGGATGCACTCCAGAGCGTCTCTTCAGGCTCGAGGGACAGAGCATCCTCGCCGAAGCATTGGCCGGAACAGTACGAAGGGGTTCTGACGGAAATGAAGGTCAAGTCCTCTCTGAGCTCATGAGTTCCAAAAATTTAGAAGAGCATCGCTTCGTTGTCGATTACATCAGAACTGCACTCGCAGACTGCGGTGTTCAGGCAGATACCAATGGGCCACATGTCCGACGACTTCCAAGGCTCATGCACCTCGCCACACATATTCACGGACAGTTTCCGCTCCCTTCTGACACTTCCTTGAATGGACACCGCGCCGATGTGGGCGGAAACGCCTCTGGAAGCAACGTATTCAAATTGCTGCGGACAATGCATCCTACTCCAGCTGTTTGTGGTATGCCACGCGAGAAGACAATCACGGAACTCGAGAACCTGGAGGATTTTGACCGTGGCTTGTTTGCTGGTCCACTTGGATGGTTCTCTAGAGAAGCTGGTGAGTTTTGCGTCGCCATTAGGTCTGCCCTAGTCCATGACAATGATGTCACGGCTTTCGCAGGCAGTGGCATTGTGCCGGCCTCAGAAAGCAGGTCAGAATGGGATGAAACTGAACTCAAGATGTCTGCCTTTACAGACCTGTTCCAGCCTGCCGTGCACAAACCGCATGTAAGAACGGAAAGACTCTTGATGGAGATGGTCACACCACTGTTGGCGGCGAATTTGTCTCTCCATGATCTCCATAAACTAGAGAATGGAGATACATATCCGTATGGAACTTGCAATGGTTCAAACACCACCCATGTCAGGTCTGGTCTTTCTGGTCTTTCGTTGCATGAAAATTCCTTAGGTGCACCCCCGCCATCACGTTCTGGTTCAACCAATTCTCTTGATTCTTCGTACGAAACTTGTAATGCAAGCACGCCTGTGGGGCCTTCTTCACTTGACTTTGATGCTAGTATGCTCAAAGACATGCCAAACTTGAACACATTATGGGGGTGCTGCGTCATTGAAGAGTTGTGCAGAAACCATGTGAATACTTTCTTTGTTGCCCCGGGATCCAGATCCGCGCCCCTAGCAGTCGGGGTTGTTCGATCAAGGCACGCTATTTTGCACATCACGCATGATGAAAGAGGAGCAGGCTTCCTGGCTGTGGGATACGCAAGAGCGACAGGTCGAGCCGCGGCAGTCATCACGAGTTCAGGCACGGCAGTCGCAAACCTGCTCCCTGCAGTCGTTGAGGCCTCAATGGACAACTTGCCAGTGATTTTACTAACTGCAGACCGACCACCTGAATTGCGTGAGGTAGGTGCGAATCAGGCAATTCGACAATGCGAGATTTTTGGAAGTTACACGCTATGGACGAAGGACATTCCATGTCCGAGCACCTGTATTCCGCTTCGTAATCTATTAAGCGACATCGACTATGCAGTGCACAAAAGCGGAAGCGGAAGTCTCTCCTCATCATACGAGTCAGGCCCCATACATCTAAATATGATGTTTCGGGAGAAGCTGGCGCCAGACCACCAAGCCTGGGACCGCGAGTATGTAAACGCTGTGGGAACGCGATGGCAGAAATCGCTCGCTCCTTTGACGCAGTATCACTCCACGTCGAGCACATGCACTGCGTCCCTCGAGGGTCTCTTCCACGATTTACAACGGAAAGTAGCTGGGGTTATCATTGTGGGAGGTGGCTGCGGCTGCATTCGGACAGAAGATGAAGCGCTTGCCCTCTACGAAATTGCAGAAACTCTGAGGTGGCCTGTAATCTCAGACGTCTGCGGGGGACTGCGATTGAACAAATGGAAAAAGGGACGGTTGGTACATTATGCGGATCAAATTTTGATATCTCGAGCTGCAACGCAGGCGCTAGTTCCGGATGCTGTGTTGCAGATTGGGGAACGGGTGACATCGAAGAGGGTATATGAGCTAATCAGCTCGGCGAGCAAGGTGTGTTCAGACAGGGATGAGGAATTTGCTCACGTGGTTGTGTCACGCAGTAGCAAGCGGTGCGACCAGGGGTTCACTGTGACGCACCGTCTACGAAGCGAGGTTTCGGAGATTTTGGAGGCCGTCAAGATGGTTCCGAGGGCATCTGGAAAAAGGGAGAGCAAACTGATGGTGCTGACTGAAATCTCTGACAAGATGGACATGGTGCTGCAAAAGATGATGCAGAGCAGCGTCGAAGGCGACGAGCTGACGGAGCCATGGTGCAGCCGGGTGATCTCGGAGTGCACACCAGCGTTCAGCGGGCTGTTTGTGGGCAACTCGATGGTGATCCGGGACATGGACGCGTTCGGACGGGGCCGTGCCGACGGTATGCACGTGCGCATCAGCGGCAACCGTGGGGCGAGCGGGATCGACGGGGTGGTGTCGAGCGGGATCGGGTTCGGGCTGGGGCTCAGGCGGGAGGTGACAATCGTGCTGGGCGACATGTCTCTGCTGCACGACCTCAACGCGCTGCACCTGCTCCGGCGCGGCGGGGCGGAGGCGTGGCACCGTGTGACGGTGGTGGTGGTGAACAACGGCGGCGGCGGGATCTTCTCGATGCTGCCGATCGGCAAGCACCGCGACGTGTTCTCGCCCGTGTTTGACACGCCGCATTCCGTGGAGTTTCGGCACGCGTGCGACATGTTCGGGATGCAGTACCACGGGGTGCGCAGCGTGGGCGGGCTGCGCGACGCGCTCAATGACGGGGGCGACGGGGGCGACGGGGGCGGGAGAAGGCACCGGATGATCGAGGCGTTCGTTAGCGGGGACCATGGCAGCAACGCGGCGCTCCACCAGCGGCTGGGCGCGGCCGTTGCGCAGCAGGTGGCGTCGTTCTTTGCGGGGCAGGGGACGCGACGGTCGGCAAGGTGCGGGGCGGGGGCAGGGGCGGCAGAGGAATGGACGACCTGAAGGTGCGCCATCGGGGGCATCGGGGGGCGTGGCGCGGACACGTGGAGCGGGGGTATTGGGGCGTGTACGTGGATCGGACACGTGTAGGGTTGTGCGGCACGACGGGCGGCGCGGACAAGCGATGCGCCGGGGCAAGACGCCACCGATCTCTGCCGAATATCGATACCATATCCCGCACACCTCAGCCGTTGCGACCTTGTGTCCAAATGCCCTACTCCTCCCGTTTGCAAACGGCGCCCCCACGTGTCCCCACCGAGATCCGAAATACTGTGTGTAAACGTCCAACAAACCCCACTCCCCACTTCCACCTTATTCTCGCCCCCCTTCCTTTCGCCCCCCTTCCTCTCGCCCCCTTCTCCTCGCCCCCGTCCCCTCGCCCCCCTTCCTCTCCTTCCCCCCACCGCACCCACACATGTCGCCCCCCAGCCTCCTGCTAGCCGCGCTGCACCGCCTCCTAACGCCCTCGCAGCCCCCCGAACTCGACATGGTCACCTTCTCCTCGCAGCTGTGCGCGGCCTCGCGCGCGCTCGAGACCTCTCTCCCGCCGCCGCTGCGTCTCTTCACGGACCCGTACGCGGAGCTTCTGGCGGGCCCGGAGGCCCTGTCGCGCGCCCGCGCGCGCATGGTCAGCATGCTACACCTGGCCATCCCCGCGCGCCCGCGCATCGCCATCCGCACGCGCTACTTCGACGACTTTGCAAACTCGGCCCTCCACCGCTTCGCCCCCGGCAAGGCCCAGCTCGTCTCGCTCGCCGCGGGGCTGGAGACCCGCGCCTTTCGCCTGTGCGAGCTCAGCGATCAGGTCGCGCTCTTCGAGGTCGACCGCCAGGAGGTCTTCGACAGGAAGGAGCGCCTGCTGGCGGACGTTCAACCCACGCCGCAGGTTAGGGCTGGGTCGAGAACTGTCGTCGACGCAGACTTGGCGGAGCCGGACTGGACTCGCAAGATTGACGAGGCCGGCTTTGATAGGGCCCTTCGGACCGTCTGGTTGCTGGAGGGCTTGCTGTACTATTTGGACGAGGAGAGGGTCACCCAGCTTCTGCGCGAGGTGTGGGAAATTTCCGCAGTGGGCTCATGCGTTTGCTTCTCGGTCGTCACGGGCTTGGCCAAGCACTACAAGAAATCAGACACGCTTGCCAATTATTTCAAGTCGGCCATGCCCGATCCGCATGCTGTCTTGAGCGAGGCGGGCTGGTCTCTGGATGCTGTCGATCAGCTCGGCGGGCCAAATGCAAACTATGGAAGGTGGCAGACGTCGGAGACCATCGGCCTGGACGACTGGAGGAGTACGCGGTCGACCATTTATGTGTCGGCCACAAAACGGAGATAAGGGGAGGGCAGCGGGTTTTGTAGTTGAGCGAAGCAAGATTATGCGACGTGGAGTAGAGGTGGGGCGCGGCGTTGCGTCTGTAGAGCAGGGATTCCGTTAATGGCGTTGGTGAGATATGACTTCCCGCCGCCTCCGGCGGGTGATTGTTGGCTTGGACGTGCGTTGCGTTGTACATAAAGAAAGCATTTGTAGAACCTGATTGCGGCGTATGATGTCTTTTGAATGGACTACATGTGCAAATTGCGGTACTGAGAGTTGAAAACAGTTCAGGTGCAGGATGGTCGGAGGGCAAGTTGCTGGAGTGGAAGAGAGAAGTTGAGCAGTTGATCGAGGAAATGTTATCTTGAAATTTAAAGAAATTTGTAACAGAGGCAAAACCATTGCTACCACAAACTGCAAACTCCATGGAGCACACGGGCTCACAAACCAACGCGCACATCCGCCAGTGTCTCCTGCGGCACGCCCGGGATGAAGACTTCTCTATCCTTCATGCACCTACCCTCGCCAGAAACCAAACCAACGTAGGACCCCCGCAGCAGCCATGACATCTGTTCATCTCTCCCGCCCGCGCGGCCCGTCCTTTCCGGCTTTCGCCGTCCACCCCTCCACGCACCGCCTGCTGAGCTGGCGCTTCTCATTCTGTGCGTCCACCTCATGCCGCCGCCCCCTTCGCCGGCGTCTGCAGCCGCCCGCGCCGCGCTCGCACCACTCGCGCATGAATCACGAGACCGTGCAGGACGCCGCGAGCGACACCGACGAGCTGCCGGCATCTTCGCCTGACAAGATGGACGACTTGATCAACGCTGTCGCCACCCCCCTGCCCAATGCCGCGCCTTCAAAAGCCACCAAGCCGCAATACTCGCAGCGCGCCCGCCTGCGTGAGGAGACCGAGGCCCCGTTCAGAAAGGCCCGCATGTTTGTGTACGCCGGCTCAGCCGCGTCCGCGGGCGTCGGCGCCTTCATCGCCGGCTTGAGGATCATCGCCGCGCTCATCGGTGTGTCGGGGACGCAACCCTTGAACGAGACGGTACGTCACAGGTTTGGTGTCATATTCGATGAATTTTGCAGAGGCGCGTGCTGTGAGCTAACACTCGTGTCACCTCGATTTGCGTTTGACATGTAGGTTCCTAATGTCGGTATCAATCTGGCCGTGATCACGGTGTGCGCTCTATTACTGCGGGCAGAGGTTAAAGCGGGGGAACGGCGTTTAGAGCGAATGTCTAGAGGGGCCCGAATAGCCAGCCTTCGAGTGCAGGACTCTGTGACGCAACAAGTGCTGCGACTAAAAGACCTACGCGGTCGCACGCGAGTAGTTCTAGTTACCGGAACCGAGGACAAGGTGCTGGACGCCATGTCACGTGCGGAGGCTGTCAAGAGTGGCTTGTCAGAGTCAAACCTTATCATTGTACCCCACGTTGTCAGCCCCACAAACGCCTCGGAGGAGGCAATGAGGTCGTGGAGAATGCAGCCGTATGCACAGGACGAATGGAACAAGTGGTATCACGGCGAGCGTGATGTGGCAAGGGCCCGTCTGGGGGCAAAGGCGGAGGAGGTGCTCGTGTTGATTGTTAGGCTTGATGGCAAGGTGGGCGCACGTTCTGCAGGAGCACCCGCTTGGCAGAATCTAATCGAAGAAATCTCGAAGATGCCCGCACGAGACCAATACGGGAAACCGTAAAGGGCCTTCTATGTTTAAAGCTGATGAGAGCTACGGTAATAGGGCCTAAACCGCCGCTGTATCCATTTTTTGTTGTATAGGACATGAGTTTACAGTTGGGCGCAAGAGGGCGTCCAAGCAATGAGATATCCAAGCATGTGCCTGTGCAATAAGTCAAGTTTATCAACTCAACAAACACAAACTTTTATTGAAGAGTGTGAGTTGCAGCCTCGGTAGTGTCAGGGCTCCATGCTGGACTTGTCTATGCGATTTGTTGCCCCTCGCGATGAGTCCGCATCATCACATGACAAGTCGCTAGGTAAATCTTCTTCTCGCTCGTAACTTCCTATGCGACCAGTCTCCCAGATGTCTCGCCCCGTTGTCGTTGGCGTGTGCTGTACCGATGGAAGAGAGCGATTTCCACCAGGAATACGTGAAAAGCTTCTCGGTGGTGCGTTTTCCGCTTTCTTGCTATAAAATGATGAAAAAGGCCCACCAAATATTCTCGTTCTTGTCGCTAAAGACTGCGGAGTGGAGTTGTCGAATGGCCTCGGATTTCCCGACTGAGGGGTACCATGCCCATCATCTCGCGAAGACACTCCGTTTCCAGACTTACCCTCACCTCCAAAAGAGCTCCTGTTATGAGACGAATTGTTGGTCCGATTGGTGAGAAACGATTTTCCGCCGTCTTGCACGACTTTTTTCGGTGTGTTCATCCCCCTGCAGATGCGAGGAGTTACTAACCCAACAGATGCCCTCATATTTTTGAGAATGTCTCCGAAAAGGTCTGTGTTCTCTCTTTTCATTCCCTCGCGACGATAGCCGGGAGCCTGCCCATTTTCAATGTCCCTCAGATTGCTAGCTTGTTCTTTGCTCGCTTCAAATTCAGCTGCTCTTGTTTCAAATTCTTCCTTTTCTGCCTGAATCTTCTTCTCCTTTCGTTTGTGAATACAGCAGAATGAAATTGCCACTGCGAAAATCGAGAAGATGCACACGGCACATCCAATTAAGGCCAATTGAGCCTTTGATAATAACTCCTGTCTCACCTGCTCAAGGGAAGGGGCTGCCCAGTATTTATGGCCTCTGGAATCAACTACCCATGGCTCGTATAGAATTTTGACCTTTGTTGCCAGGGCCGAGCTGATTCCTTGGAGAAACACATCTCCTCTAGTCATGGTCTCCAAAAGAATAAATACTGATTTTGTTTGGTAGTCGCGAGTTTCCAACTGCAACACCATCCTCGATAAGCCAATTGGAGCATCGATATCGCATCCAGAAAGACGCAGATCTGAGCAACAAAGAGTAATTTTGACATTTGGCTTTGCGTCCGCAGTTGCGATGCTAGACTCTATGAACTTCGAGGTAGTCTTAACAGTAGCAGGAGTTATGGAACAATGGGACGAATTATATTTCGCATTGTTGAGAACGAAGACCGCATATATAAAAATCTTTCCTTTCTTTGGTGTCGGATTTTGCAGTAGCTTCGGAAGCGGTCTGATATATACCAGCTTGTTCACTTCCTTAGTGTCATTCGTCCTCACATGGGCATATGAAGAGTTTATCTGGAATACATCGTCATTCACCACCGCTTTCGTTGAAGTTGTGTTGATGACGGACGAAATCTCCTTGGGATTCAGGGATGGGTTGTCAGCTAACAAGGCAGCAATGGTTCCAACCACATGGGGGCATGCAGCAGAAGTACCACTTAAGTTTCTCATGGCTTTGTTCCCTGTGTGCCATGCCGACAGAATTTCCTCACCGGGAGCGTAGATATCTATGCAGTTTCCAAAATTCGAGAAACTCGATAGTGTATCACCCTTGTTTATGGAGGCGACGGTAATCGCCGAAACCTCCGACGCCGGTGAGAAGGCGCAGGTATTAGACATGCTGTTCCCCGCAGCCGTAACAACTGGGATCCCTGCATCTGTTGCTCTTGCTACCGCCGCGTTGAGTGAAGTAGACCGAGGCGTACTCAGCGACATGGCTATAACTGCCGGGGAGCGACCATTTTTTCGCGCATCGTCGAGGGTCCACTCTATTCCTTCGATCAATCTCGCAGTATATCCAATGCCTTTTCTATCCAAGACTCGTACAGAGACAATGACAGCCCTTTTTGCAACGCCGACGCTATTCCCCGCAATAATTCCAGAAACATGCGTGCCATGCCCGTTTCCATCAACAGGACTGCGAAGCCGGTCAACGATATCAGTCCCGAAAATCGCTCGTCTTGACCCGTCTTTGTTTTGAAATTCAGAGTGACTAATGCGCACTCCAGAATCAAGAACGTACACATAAACTCCCTGCCCGCCTTTCGAAATAGAATATATATGGTCCAAAGGCAACTTCCTTTGATCGATGCGATCCAGACCCCAGGGGAGCTGAATTGAAATTTGTGTGGATATAAAACTTGCTTGTATCTCGTACTGCCCTTCTGCCGATCCGTAGCCTGTTAGCAAAATGAAGAGTGAATCGTCAGTTGAGACGGAAACTTCCAACGTAGATTGGGACTCGCAGTCGTTGTCATTCATGTCAATTGGTTTACTTAAGATAAACTCGCCACCCTCATCTGCAACACTGATATCTTTAAAGGCAAATAGAACTGAATCAAACAGAGTAAATTCCGAACATGTTGTCACTCGCACAATTCTTTCGGCCTTGGTCGAGGCATCAAGATGAGCACTTGGAATGGAAACGTTAAAAAGTACTTGTCCTGCTCTGTAAGTGGAATTAAGCTGAACCAGACGCTTAGCTTTCTTGGTTGTTCCTCGAATAGTGGCACCTGGTAAAAGTTGTCGAATGTCTGTTGTATTGAAGGACACGGCATAACAAGAAATGGAGAAGCATAGAAATAAAAACGTAGACTTCATTAACACGCCGTAGCAGTGCATGGTCTTCATTTGGGCTCTGGTGTGAATAAATACTGAGTTGCTCTGAAAACAGCTGCAGTTGCCGATGTTGAGTAGGGGTTGCAGGAAGAAAGGAATACAGGGGAGAGATTGTTTTGCCAGAGAGAGAACTGTGGTATGCAGTATATTTAGATTAACAAGTTTTCTTTTGCTAGGATGGAAAAAGAATTCATCGGAATGCAACTACATGGAAGCGTGGGCTACCATCTCAGGTATTACTTTATTGCTTTGGCCTTTTACGAGAAATGGTGATTTTCGACCTCATCAATGGGGTGTGATTTCGACTAAGATAGCTTGGCGAATGGTATGCAAAAATAAGAGGGGAGTCTCTTGAGAGAACAAAAAAATCGAACTAAATCCTTGATGGATCTCGGACAGTTGATGGGGTAATAATTTCGCGAGAGTTGTTGCTTCACGGAAGTTGCTGTGCCGAAAGTCTAAAAGCTCTGACCAGAGATAAGGCAAAGACCACTGACCTTGACTCGTCTCGCAAAACTCGTGTAGGCGGGAAAACCACTCAAGGGACGGTCGACGCTGTGCTGTGACTTTATGCAGACGGACAACCTTTGAGGCAATATCCTGCGATGACTGTTTTCTTCTTCCCGAAGTGGGAGACATGTTTTAAAAATGGCACTGATTTCCAGTTGAGGACGGCTTTCATCTATGTGGCTTCGAAGTGGGCGCTTTCAAAAATACCTTTGTCAACGTCAACTTTGGCCAGACAAGCAAGGCTCCTTCAGGTCGTGTATCAAGAAGAGGTCCAACAGGTTGCGGAGAAACTTGCTAAAATATTGAAAAATAAAGACGCTTCGGAATTCGGGTTTTTGTCAGCCAAGACGGTCTTCTTGCTGGAAGACTTCTGAACCACAGCAATGCGCCTAGGTGCATCGCCGATTTGCCTGTTTTGCTCGTACAAGCTCTTGGTTCGTTTCTGAGCAGGTATTGTACGCTCTTACGCATCGCGGGTCATCTTCGTTTGTCCCTTTCAGTTGCTCCTCAATTTCGAAGCTAAAAAGGTGTTTCCTTGGAGCTTTTCTACTGTTGCACTAGCTCGAGACAAATATGAACGCCTCGAGGAAGGAAGAAGAGGGGCAGAACTTAATGGAACAAGGTGAGAAGCAATTGCATCAGAAATCAGGCTTCTTGTCTTTCTTCCTCGGCAAATCTGCCAGCATAGGCAAATCTTCGCCTCAGGAGGAAGCTGCTGAGACATTTGTGAAAGCCGCCAACTGCTTCAGACTCGTCAAAGCCTGGTCGCAGGCTGGTGCTGCCTTCGAAAAAGCAGCTTCCGCCTATGCTGCTTCTTCTGATATGACGTACGAGGCTGCATCTAAATATACTGATGCTGCCAAGGCGTACAAGAATTCAGATTCTGGCAAAGCGGTTGCGGCCTACGAGAAGGCCATCGAATTGTACACTGATACCGCGCGGTTTCAGCAGTGTGCTAGATATAAAAAGGAGATTGCCGAGATGTTCGAGGCAGAGCAGGACATGGAGAAATCGCTGGAGGCATACATAGCAGCAGCGGATTTTTACGATATGGAAGACGCAAAATCGAACGCCAACTCCATGCGCGTGAAGGTCGCCATGCTTAGCGCTTCGACTGGCAAATTTGCGGAGGCAGCCGATCTCTACGAGTCTGTGGCTCAAAACGCACTCGCTAATCACATGCTCAAGTATGGCGCCAGAGATCATCTTTTAAGAGCGGGGCTTTGCAGGTTATGTTTAGATGATGTCATCGGTGCGCAGAGAGCGATTTCAAAGTATGCAGAAATGGACCCGACTTTCTCCACATCTCGTGAAGGAAAGCTTTTGGAAGCGGTTGTAGCGGCTGTAGATGAAGCGGATGTGCAAGGTTTCACAAATCATGTCTACGAGTACGACTCGTTGAGCAAGCTTGATGAGTGGAAAACCTCTATTCTTCTCAAGATTAAGAACAAAATCAACGCTGAGGATGATGACCTCACATAAAGGTCTGTTCCCATTAGTTTTAACTAAAATATCTGTAATACACCTTAGCTTGTCATTCAACATGGGTAAGTCAGTTGATGCCCAAAGGTTTAGTACATGCCAGCAGTTCTTCTCCCGTACATACGCTCCGTTTCCCGTGTGGCAACTTCGCAAGCTCTTTGTACATCTGTCAGTCTCTTGTGCAGACTGCCGGAAGTCTCATCTAGATACTGCAATGAATCTAAGTGCGCATTCAACACTGAAATAATTTGGGATACCGTATCACCAGCTCTGCCCCTTCCAGTCATTTCACTTCCCTTGTTCAGGTCAACCACCAGGTCCCTTATCGTAAGAGCCATAGTATCTAATTCTTCCATCACTTCGATCGACATCCGATGCATGGATTCACGCTCGATATCGCCTCTCAGTTTTGTGTCACTATGTCCGCCGTGAGGCGAACCTGGTTTTGACGGAGATGAGCCAATTTTTCTTTCTACATCGATTTGAAGCGTATCCAGTAGAGAATGTAGTTCGTTCTGTTGAGATAAGATGAGGTCCAAATTATCGTTGAGTTCCTTGTGTGCGATTTGGACCGATTGGGCGTCGCGATTTAGCGAGTTGATTTTGTCTTCATTCGAAACAATCGCACGATCCCATTTTGAAACCATTCGTGCGCCTTTCTGAAACTGGGTCGCAAGATCTGTGACTTCCTCGGTCCACTTGTTCACAACTTCGTCCAAGCTAAGATCTTTTATGTCTGAAGGAATCGCTGCGGCGGAAGTGGATGTTGCAGCTCCGGATGATGCCGTCGATGCCAAAACTCCCGCGGAAGCCGTCGCCACAACTGCAGCAGAACTAGCTCCTGTCACACCAAAGCTAGCGGTTGCCAATGCTCCCCCTGAAGTTTGCGACGTCCCTGCCCCGGTTGCGTCTTTAGCGGCGCCCTTTCCAATCGCTGACAGTGCCCCAGACCCAGTTGCGTTTCCTGCTGATGAAGCTCCAAAAGAGGCGCCGCTGGTGCTACCTAGCCCGAAACTAGGAGCACTGGCTGAGCCTGACGCGCTTGCCGCAGAGGCAGGGGCCCCTGACAAGAACCCGGTTGGAGCCTTGCTTGAAGTTCCACCTGGCGCGTCAACCCCTTCTGCACTAGTGCTTGCTCTCTTTTCCCCTGCGGATGCGACTCCGGTGGAAGCTGGAACTCCAGACAGCCCTGGTCCAGATGCTGCGCTCGCCGTAGAGGGTGCCGCGAGACCAAATGACACAGATTGTACGGACCCGCTAGATGATGCAGCAACGGCGGCGGCCGCCTTGAAGCCACCTGGTACCACCGCTGCCCCTGCGTTTGCCCCAGCCGCCATCGAAGCGCTGTTTGCTGAAGGAAAAGACAATGAGAATGCTGCTGCTGTCGGTTTCTTACCTTGCGACTGCGCGAGGGTCGAGTTTGAGAATGCCGGGGCTGGAGCAGACTTTGCCGAGGCAATACTTGCGCCAAGGAGAGAGCCAACTAACGATGCAGCTGTGGTGGGAGTGGCGAACGATGATACTTGACCTGTGCCGCTTGCTGGGGCAGTAGAAAGATTAAAGTTGTACCCGGATGATGCCGCCGGTTGAGAAGCAACACCGAAGAGCGACGCACCCGCAACGGCTGCGGCCGGCTTCGACGCATTGAGGCTGGCTGCTGCTGTTGTAGCTGAGGGCATTCCAAGTCCGAGTGATGCGCCCGGCTGGGACGCCGGAGCCGCGAGAGGAGCGCCGAAGAGTGAGGACTGAGAACTAGGCGTTCCGAAGAGACTTGCGCTCCCGGCTGACGGGGGACCGAAGAGACCAGCAGTAGAGGATGCCGTAGCCGATTGCGGCGCCGCAAATCCGGTCGTAGCAGCGGTCGGTTGGGCACTACCGAAAGTCGATGCTGTCGCAGACTGCGTCGCACCAAAGCCCGTCGCGGGGGTGGAGGCCACGGGCGGTTTCGATTGGGCAGCTCCGAAACCGGTTCCTGCTACGCCGAAGAGATTCGTGCCGCCCGTGGCTGGGGCGCCGAACAGGCTCTGTGATGAGGCGCCGCCGAACGAGGCCACTCCGAACAACGATGGACCCGAGGAGGCGAAGGTCGGGCCTCCGAAAGAGGGTACCGAACCGGCCGGAACGGCGGAGTCTGTGGGCGCGCCGAAGAGAGATGAACTCGACTGGCCGAAGCCAGCCGAGCTCGTACCTGCGCCTGAGAATGACATCTCTCCCGGTCGGGGTCGCTACAGGCGACGATCACCGTGGTTGAGGGGTGAACGTGGAGCGGTAGTGCGCCGGTCTGGAGTCGGAGTCTGGTGTCGGACGATCGTGGGGGTCACGCTGTACAGAAGTGTGGATCAAAAAATGGCTGGATTACAAAGACTTTCCCTCCAAAATATCTATGCCACAGCCGCAAGGCCGTTTTACGCTTGTTCAGAGAATGGGAACGAGAGGCACCAACTATTTACAAGGCTGAAGGTCATGTCTCGTAGTGATAGCTCTCAGGGAGTTTGGTACCTTGGAAATGACAAGCTCAAATATGTCAACGGCTCCTCTATCAAGCGGCTGAACCTAGTTTTTCTTAGAACGACAGGGCTGAATCGCGCTTTCAAAAATCTGCTAGCAATACAACCGCCTCACTAGCTTCGACTTACCATCTCTCTAGGGGCCGTTGAATCACCTGCGCCCACGCCCACGCCCCCGCCCACCGCCACGACCCCGGCCCCGGCCTCGACCGCCAGTAGCCTTCTTCGCTGAGTTACGTCCACCCTTCTTTTTCCGTTTCACGCCAAACTGTGCTGCAACTTGTTCAGGGTCATCGTCATCATCATCGCTGTTTGGACTTTCCTGGTCGACAGGGTCCTCATCTACGACTGCAACGTCTCCCTCGTCAACACGCTTTTTGGTCATGTTCGCATCAACCGCCTGTTTGACCCCGATACGCATTCCGGTTACGGTTGACCGCCTATGTTCCCGGGAATTATACGCCCTCGTAAATCCAGTTTTGACAGACCCTGGAATGTTCTCCATGGGGGACCTACCCTTTGCGTATACGCCGGCATCTAGGATTTCCAGCCAGTCAGGATCGCGTTCCAAGCAGTAGCTATCTAGCCGTTCCACTACCTCGTCAATACCACCTGCTCCGTCTCGAATCAACGGTGTTGCCAGACATGTCGTCAACGCTGGAATATAGTCCAGACGGAATGCTCGGACAGATGCACTAGTCGTCGGCGCCGCTTTCACCTTCATCTCTAGACCTTGCACAATACGCTTCCATTTGTTTCCTTTGGACATGTTGCCCAGGAAAGAGGGAAACTGGGGCTGTTGTCGCAGTCCTCCAGCCATGATACTTCCTGGCCGAATAGCGCTCATGATAGCAGCAGCCGGCATTAACTCCCATCGCTGTTCTCGTCTCACTAATGAATTACAGAGATCTCCTTCAGAGATGCTTTCAGCCGCCAACGCGAGTTTCTCGAGACTGCTTTCGGCGGCACCAGTGTTGACATAGTTTTCCTGAATGAAAAGAGGCATCAAGTCACTGTCGGCGAAATAGTTGTCCGTGCGAGAAAACAGCGAGTTATGAGAACCGTCAATCCCGGGCATGAAGAATCCCTTTGCTAATTCAAAAATACTCTTCTGAATGACAGTCTTCCCTTCAACTACAAGGCGCTCTTTCACTTGTCCAAATGACAGGCTGGTGGATGACGTGCGCCAAGTTTGAAGCAAGTTGATCATTTGGCGTATATCACCGTTGCAGCCTTCTGCAAGCTTGGCAACTGTCTGGTCCTGAAGCTGTCGAAAGCCCTCTCGTCGTGCTATTTGCATTAACCGCTTCGTTACTTGATTCACCATGGGACGCCTGAAACGAAGCTTAAAGCAATTATTGGATAGAGAGCGCATGTTTGGAGATGAGTCATCATTTGCAATGCATATAATCGGGACTTTGGAAGTCTTAATTACTTTGATGAGTTCTTGGCTCCCACCTCGATCGCCTCCACTCATTCCATCAACCTCGTCCATGATCAGGACTTGTCCCTCTGGGAAAGACGTTGACCTGCCGCTCTTGCCCTTCGACGATTTTTCCCCTTTCTTTGGCGCAATCGCGAAGTATTTGAACATCGTGTTTGCTACCATCACTGTCTCTGCCAGCATGTGCACGCCCCCTTTGTTCCTGACGTCAGACGCATTGTATTCATGGGGCTCGAAGCCCAACTCTTTGCAAACGATGTGGGCAGCAGTTGTCTTACCAATTCCTGGAGGACCAGCAAGCAAAACGGCGGCGTAGTCCATATCTCCCCTTGCTTTGGGCTTCCACTTGTGACCGTCACCATACAGGAATTTGCCTTTCCACGACTCCAACCAAGCTCGCAAATCTCTTATAGCCTTCGCGTTAGCCACAAGATCGGACGAGGATGATGGCTTATACTTGTCTACCCAAAGCTGATTCAAATGTTGTTCGCCGTTTATCCGTCCTCCAGTGGGAGGTGCTTCCTTTCTTGGTTTCGGTGAGCGGGCTGCGGTACTCGCATTTCGCCGCTTGCTTACAGGGGCCTTCTCAACTTCAATGACGTCCTCTTCATCGTCCTCCATTTCGACGTCCTTTTTCTCTTTCGAGGGCGGCAGTGTCTTGGAAATCATCGCAAACAGTTCGTCTTCACTAATAATTGGACAACGATTTGCCTTCAGTTTTTTCATCTTAGAATCACCGGGGTCTGTTCCGACAATTCCATGAGTGACCTTCCCCGACACACTACCAACAACCCTGGCTCCATACTCTTTGCACAAGTCAGCGCATTCCTCCCTAAGCAAAGAATCCAAGATCCCAGTAATGACGAAAACCTTTCCAGTAAGACAGTTGCGCGCTCCAATAGGCAGGTCCTTGTTCCCCCTGTTCGGCGGGGCATCTTGCCTAGGTACCCATTTCCTCTTCTTTGCTGCCGGTTCCGCAGCAGCCCCCTGGACCTCTGTCGCGCCTCCAAATCCAACAGATCCATCTCCAGCTGCTTTCCTCGGGCTGGTTTTCTTCTCCTTGACAGGTGCCTCAACCACTTCCGGTTCGTCTTCCACCTCAATCTGTCGACGGATCCGTTTCCTCTTTGTCGCCATCCTCCGCACCGGTGTCACCTCTTCCTCATCCACGTCAACAACTTCCGAAGCAGCTCTCGCTGCCTGACGACTTCTGCGCCGCTTCGGCTGGAAGTCTTCCTCGTCGTCATCATCGATACCATCTAACAAGTCCACATTTTTTGCAGCTGACGCCAGTTTTCGGGGTGATGATCGGGTCGCGCGTGTCGAAGGGCTCGTTGTAGAACGACTAGCAGAAGGCGATTTCGTCGGAGTCCCCACGCTCATTCGTCCACCAAGAGACTTGGCAGGGGAACTCTTCTTCGACCCCTGTCCCTTTTTCAGAAACTTGCGAATGTCCATGCTGTGTCCAGTGGCCGAGCTGAAGTTTGATCACGGAGGAGACGGCGAGGATGCAACTTGATTCCTCCGTCTGTTGTAGCTCAGACTCGGATTGTGAGAGTGTTGGGACTGGTAGAAATTCGCGGGAAAAAGTTTATGCGATTTTGGACAACTGTGAACCCTAATGTCACAGCGAATGAAAGTTGGCCAACTGTTCTTGTGGCGACTCTGTCTCTTCCTCTGCTCCACGTGTAGCCTGTACAGGTGTTTCTTGTTAGAAGGCGACTTTTACGACAGTCTGGTTTCAAAAAAGAAACTTTCATGAGTGACGAAAATGGTGTTCCCGGGGATAGCGAGGTTACTATATAGAGATCTTTACATGGTGACGACATAGTTGAAGCATATCCAAGTCATTCCGGTTTTGTTGAATATGTATTGCTGGTGATTGTATGAACGAAATTGGGACGAAAGGTAAGGAACGCAGATATGCGAGCAGAGCTCGCAAGTTGCATTACAAATGTCTGTGCCTTTCTGGAAGCTCTCTTTTGATCTAGTCCTCGGTCTTTTTATAAGAACTGGTTGTTTATCTACATTCCTATCAACAAGGCGATGGTTGCTAAGAATGGTTTAAAGAGACAATGCTCATCGAGCATCGCATTCGAAAATGTGTCAAAGTGCCAGCTAGAGAAGTGCAATTAAGCCTCATGTTGGCATTTTCATACTCAAGAGTGAGTGAGTGGCATCCAAGTAGACTTGAGTCTTTGAATATCCTCTCAAAGCTGGCCAACTTTTCGGAACGCGTGTTTTTTTGCTACTGCTTCTTCGGCAAGTCATTAATCTGTGTCTGACATCTAGGAGAAGTTACAATAGGAATGTCATTTTTCTAGAGCGACATTCTCTTGCACGTCTTCTCCATTTCGTTTCATGGTCATTTTACCTGGCCATTTTACCGCCGAAGATCAGCGCATGCTTACACAAATTCATCTTCCAAAGTGATATTCTGTTGCACACTCCACCCTCATCGAAAGTTGATGTGAAATGGAACCAATTTGCGGTAATTTGTAGCGTGCGTATATGATGTTGAAATGGGAGCTCATAAGTTTGACACTTCAGAAGTTTCCTCATCAGAGCCTTCTGTGTAGTCCAGCCGTTTCACTCCAGGGGGGCTTGTCTGGATATTCTTTATGTGCTGAACATACTTTTTTTGTTCAACTGCAAAGTATATCCCACGGAACTTGATTTTACCTCCCTCCCTCTTTTCTCAGCGTTGAAGTTGGTGATAAGCTGTACGAAGAAAATTGAACAGATGGCTTCGTCGCCACCGTCGCCAGGTACGGCACCCGCTGCCACCCCTCAAGTTCCAAAGTCAAAGCAGAAAGATCACGAATTTTGGGAGAATACAGATCAGTTGAACCTGTTTCGAGAACACAAGCTTGAGGTTGCAGGCGACCTCTATGTCAAAGGAACATTGTTTCAAAGGTCAAAAAAGTATTTTGCTGAACTGCGAGGTTTTATTATTACTGTATTCAAAAATGCTCACGCGGCGAGGACGAATGGAGAGAAGATAGACTCTGTCGTCTTTGTTATTCTTGTTCCACAGTATGACATTGATATTTTGCAGAAAGATGGCGGTCTACCCCGAATATACATAAAGTGCCCTCCGATAGAGAACGATAAAACCCTGATGTACATCAAGGTCATGGGGGGTAGGAGAGAATTGAAGGCATGGCGGTTTGGCCTAGCCAGGGCAAAGAAGTGTGTTTTGCCTCGTATCAGAAACGTTGAACTACACTCTGCAATAGGGCGAGGCGGCGGCGGAAAAGTTTTCTTAGTCAGACTGAAGGGTGACCCCAACGACTATGCCTTGAAGGCCATTTCAAAGAAGCAAGCATTCAAGTCACCTAAATCATTCCGTCATGTCCTCGCAGAGAGGTCTCTGATGGAAAGCATTGGGCGGCATCCTTTCTTACTTCCGCTCCAGTTTTGCTTTCAAACTGATGAGAATCTCTACATCGGGACCCCCTTTTGCCCAGGAGGAGACCTTGCTTCATATCTGCGGTCGACAGGTGACATGACGTACCCGTTCGGGGAGTATGAAGAAATCCATCTAGGAGTGGAAGAGCAAAAGAAGCGACGAGTGTATGGGCGGCTCCCCGAGTTGCAAGTCTGTCGAATCGCGTCGGAAATAATCCTGGCGCTTGAGCATCTGCACAAGAACGGCATTGTCTACAGAGACTTGAAACCCGAAAACGTTTTTATCGACAGCACCGGGCATGTGATGTTGGGCGACTATGGCCTCGCCAAGAATTACGAGCAATGGAAGAAAGAATGCGGGGACCAGAGAAGGACGGCTAGTGTGTGCGGTACGCGCAACTACCTCCCGCCCGAGATGCTGTTCGGGCGCATCTATTCCTACGAAACAGACCTGTGGAGCCTCGGGATCATGCTGTTTCGCATCCTGTGCGGCGCTTTTCCCTTCGAAGCGCCGCGCTCCAAGGATTTGTTCTACAAAGTCAGAACACAGCAGCCGGTCATCCCGTCCGGGCTGAGCCGACCGGCACGCAGGCTGCTGAACGGCCTTCTACAAAAGGACCCTCGCAACCGGCTGACGATTCGGGAACTAAAACGGCATAGCTTCTTCGCGTCAATCAACTGGGACGCGGTGTACCAGCGGCGGACGCCACCCGCGGCGCCAGATATAACGATCGGGAAGACAGCCGCCGACGCGTTGGGAAACTTCGAGCTAAGCAGGCTGAACAACGTGGCCGTAGACGAGCTGATGCTGGGCGGGTACGGGGATCTAGAGGAGAACTACATCGGGGCGCCGTCGCACCGGCAGGAAGTGACGGACATGATTGTGGGGTTTGAGTACGGGCTGGTCGCGAAGCGGGTGAGCAAGGTGGACCCGCTGGATGTGAAGCAGCTGGTGGGCGGGGTGATGCGCGTGACGTCGAACGACATCGAGGAGGACCGGGAGATCTGGACGGCGGCGCCGGAGATGTCGACGCCGCTGGGTTTCCTGGCCAAGGTGTTCTCCTTTGACGACACATTCTCCAGACTGGCCTCCCACGAAGAGTCGGCGAGATCGCCGCGCGGCGTGCAGATGAGGGGCGCTCGGATGCAAGATAGCAACGGTAGGTGAGGTGTGAGCAGGCGGAGGCGGGATTGTACGGTTCACCCCAAGAGCTTTGAGTTTTACAAATTTATACATGGCCTGTGCAATCCTAGGCGTAAATAAGACGTGAACGTTGTGCATTTCCCTTCCTTGCGCGCAGACATGGACTATAAAGCGAGCGCGAAGAAAGTTGTGGTTATGCCCTGACACGGTGGTGGTGGTGAGCAGAAGTCGGGGGTATCACTCCGCGCGAGTCCAGCCCTCCTTGAGCTTCTCGACGTGTTCGCTCATGTCGTGGAGCTTCTTAAGTGCAGTCTTCCTCCTGGCGAGCAGGACGGCGATCTGCCTGGTGGACTTGCGGTCGCCGTTGCGGAGGAACTGGGCGGCCATGGCCTTGGAGATGGGGACGTTGTCGGCCTTGATACACTCCTGGGTGATCTGCTCGGCGATGGTGCGGACCTTGAGGTCGAACTCGGCGGCGGTCCAGGATGGGGCGTCCAGCTGCTTGATGTCCTCCTGCAGCGAGGCGATGATGAGGAGGAGATCGGCGATTTGCTGCGTGGCCTCGTCGACCATGCCGGGTGGTTTGGCGACGCCCTTCTCGGGGCGGCGGGATGGTGAGGAGAGGGGAGAGGGGTCCTGGCGAGGAGAGAGGTGCGGATGTCAGCGGTTAGGTACAACAACAGTCTCAAATACGGTGAATGTGTCATCACGCGACGCGACCGTACAACGGTACGCGTAGAACAGGTGTACAGCATGTACACCTATCACCTGTTGGCGGAGGACAGGCGACGGTGGAAGTAAGCGAGTAGAGCAGAGGCGACCCTGAAGGGCGGAGAGAGAGAGGTGACAGGAGAGTGAGGGCCATGCCAGGCCGCACACACGCAGTACACGTGGAACAAACACCTAGATAATAACAGGACGCCGTCGTCGTAGCCTGAGGTAAAAGGACATCACCGTCACAGGTTATGGGACCCACGATACGCTAACCCACGCCCTCGAAACAACATTCTCGTCCACCACCCTCCATACAATCTCGTCCATCTTCCTTCAGTCGTCATCTTCATCACCGCATCCTTGCACTCCGAAACTATCCCCGATATTTCCATATCCACCCACTACGGGTCAAAACGGCGACCCCTACCCCTCGCTCCCACCGCCACCAACGGCGACAATCCCAACTCGACGATCAATACACCACACAACAACTGTGGTACAACGCGCGCGTCACCGCATCCGACAACACCATCCCAAACGACACCACACAAAAGTCAATACCCCCCATGGATACAAAATTCAATGTACCTAAATTGGATCACAACAATCCACTGTTCTGGAAAATGGCCATTGAGTCCAACGCCATCACCATTGATGCACTGGAACACATAACATCCAATCCACCTGTTCCCACCGACCCAGCACAATCTCGCTTCATAACAAAAGGAAGCACACTCTACGTGCCGTCATCCTGTCTACTGTACCACCCGACATCCTAAACCTTCTCAGTATCGGAAGCGATCCCTCCCAAAAAGACATCATGACCGCGGTTCTTGAACACCTCCAAACGAACACGGCTACGGACCACAAGTACCTCAAATCAGAAGCCGAAAACTTGCGGCTCTGCAGCGGCATGACCATAGAGAACTACGTGACAAAACACAATACACTAAGAGCCCGCATGATAGCCTCCTAATTCTCTAACATCAACGACGAAACAACCACCGTGGAATTCATGATCGACGGACTCCGCTACAATCCGGAGACCATCGACATCGGGCGGCAGCTACTTGCGATTAATCCCCCGACTGTCAAGGATTTTCTACACCACTTCCACCGCCTGAAGTCATACAACATGACAATACCCTCGATACCCACCTCTACCACGAGCCACAAGCCCTCGCAACCTCGAAACAACCACCCCGACCAATCCCATCATCCATCACAGAATCCACACCATCTCCATCATCACTCGCTCACGCACGCCAGTACCCCGATGCCAAGTTTTGGGCCTCGGCCCACAACGATGAACTGGACACACTGGACAGAACACAAACAATCCAATGGACACCAAACTCCAAACTGCCCCCGCACACGAAAATTATTCCGCTCAAAATGACATATCGCTAGAAACGCACAGATGACGGCGACATTACGCGATATAAAGCACGATGTACCGTACGGGGAGACCGCATGCAACCGTACACCCACTTCAACCCGGATCAAGTTACCACATACACTGCCGACCTCCCCACCATCCGCACCATCATGAGTCTCGCTGCAGCCTTGAACCTGAAAATCGAACAGTTCGACATTTCTTCAGCGTTTCTCCACGAAAGATACAAACACAGTGCACCAGTATATGTTCGGCAATTACCGCGTGTCGACGGAACATTTAAGCACCCATGCACCGCGGGAAAACTAATCGGTAACCTATACGGCACCCCTCCCGCATCATACATATACTTTGAAGCCCTAGCAAATTTCTTGACCTCTTCCGGATACACACAGACCGACAGCGACCCTTGCCTGTTCTTTTGCCAGACGCAAGACGGGCCAGTACTCATCACCGTCACTATAGACGACTTTTTCTTCGCCGCTAAAACAACCCGCACCATCAATCAACTTTATGACAAACTGAGAACTCGGTACAGCATACGGCGCCTTGGTGAACCCAAATTATTTCTCAATTGGAGAATCAAACGCCTAGCAGACGGCTCCATTCACATCTCACAGCCCCACACCATCCGCTCCATACTTGAGAAACATTCGCTGCAAGAATGCAATCCGAAGCCAACGCCATATATAGACACGAAACTCAGCGCAAGAACCAAGCACTCCGAACCACTCGACCCAGACAAAACTTTCAAATATCGGCAGACAGTCGGCGAGCTACGGTATCTTGCTGACTCAACCAGGCCCGACATTGCACACCCTGTCAGTCGACTCGCAGCCGTAATGCACACACCAACAGCCAACGACTGGGGACAACTGCGGTACCTGCTCAAGTACCTCAAAGGATCCCAATCGCACGGAATACTCTACAAATCAAAGCCCTTCGCACAGCTCATTTCATATGCAGATGCAGGTTTTGCTAACTCTTCTGACCGCAAATCGTACACGGGCATTGTACACGTACTCACGCACAGCCCTGTCATGTGGCAATCGACAAAACAAAAGACAGTAGCAATGTCTACCTGCGAGGCTGAATACCTCTCCGCGTCTTCGGCAGCTCAGCAAACCCTGTGGCTACAGCGCATATTGAACGATATCGGACACCCACCACGCATAGGCACACCGCTACTAGTGGACAACAACGCCGCTATACAGGTCGCTCGACAGTCCGCTCCAACAAAACACCGTAAATACATCGACCTAAGACACCACTTTCTACAAAACCTTGTCCAGCAACAACGCATCAACGTCAAGCATGTTCCCAGCATCTCAATGCTCGCCGATATCCTCACAAAACCCCTGAAACCACAACGCTTCCGCGCGCTCCGCACCGCCCTCAACATCATACCTCCTCCAACTCCAACTGCCATCAGCGTGCCGGGGACTGCCAGACCGCACAATTCCCACGCTGACGACAGTCCGAGCTCTAGCCAGACCTCACACACGCAGTACACGTGGAACAAACACCTAGATAATAACAGGACGCCGTCGTCGTAGCCTGAGGTAAAAGGACATCACCGTCACAGGCCAGTCCTAACAGGCGCTTTTCTTTTCTTTTGTTTTCCTTCAACCAGTTGCGGTCACGCTATTGGCCGGATCATTTCATTAAATTAATCGCACGCCACAACGAATGCTACACAGAACCACTGTAATGCTTGGTAATTCTGCGAACTGGTCAAAATCCATTGGCTAAAGGAAGTACCAATCCACACCCAGTCCATATGCACACTACTAAAATTCCATGGACTCGATGCGGTGCAGTGGCACTTGCAAGGGTACAATGAAAGTGTGGAATTAAATCCAAATACGAGCACATGCAGATGAAAACATTAGTTCTCTCAACATTACAAACCAGACACAGTACCCTTCGTACTGGCTTAATTTGGAACACTTTCGATGGATTCTACGATTAAGTTGCAAAATTAAAGGAACAAAATACTCTCTACCTCTGACAGTCGGGGCGGTACTTTAAATTAAAGCGAATCTTGAGACTTGCGTTTACTGATGGAAATCTGTTGTCAACCCCGGATGTGGGGCAATTTGGAACACCGCTTCCGCTAGCAGTTCTTCGCTTTGGAGAGCTCGACCATGACACCTGCTACATCTCTGTCTTCCACTGAGGCTCGGACTTCATGAGAAGGACTACCAGCAAACCTGGCCTTTGACGGCCGACTCGTAGTGGAAACTTTGACAGCCTTGCGGGCTTCTCTTTCGCTTTTCTTTTCCGCACGTAATGAAGCAGCTTGGGCCTTTTTCTCGGCTGCTCTCTTGACTTTCTCCTCGCGATCCTTCTGCTTCCGAGCTCTCTCAATCTTTTTTTGCCGTTCACGTTCATCTCGTTCCTCTTTCTTTCGCAATTTGTTCTCTTCCTTGCTCTTTTCTTCGGTTGCTTTCCTTTCCATTTCTCGCTTGTGTGCATTCAGTATCGTCTGCGCTCGTCATGTATTTCGCGGGTGCGCCGCACATAAGCGCAACATTGCTCTGCTCATCAGAATTGTGGGCACTCGGAGCAGGCTTCACAGACATCAAAATTGAGTTCAAAGTCTCACGCCTTGAAAGTTCTATTGCTAGGTTCTGTATCATTCTCGATGGCTCTTGCTTGTACCTCTTCACAATTTCCATAAAAGTTTCAGCAGCTTCGGCATCCAAACGCCTACGCTTGACAGATGGTAACTTTGCAGACACCTCCGCATCTTCGAAACCGCGAATGCGCTCCAAAACGTTCTCTTTCTCAGCATCAGCTTTTGTGCGGACTGCATTGATGAAACGGTAGTCCATCGGCCACAGACCCGTTGCTGCAAACGAATCCTTCACATTCTGCGCAGTGATCATCCTATGAGCTGCAATAGCCACCTTAAGTTGAAGGACATTGATCCTGTGTTAACACGGTCACATTTCAGCAGCTCATCCCTGACTTTTCGTACTGCAGCCTGAAACGATTTGTTAATTTTCTGGTCACACGGCTGCAAGAAGTGGGATATATTCGCCGGAAGTATCACGGGGACGATGTTTCGCTTTTCACACTGCTTCATCCATTCGAAGTCCAGTCTTGAGCTGTGTCCGTCAAGAAGCAAAACCCAAGTCTTATCATTCGGTACAAATTTTCTAACATATCGGTCGAGATGTTAGACAAAAAAGGGCATTATCGTTTGCTCCATCGAACCATTTTCGGATGTACGGAGAGCTGTGTCTCCTGGAAGCCACCCATCTCTCGCCAACCAGTGAGCAGAACCATCCGAGTTCTTAAAAATGGTAGAGTCAAGCGGCTCGTACCACTTTTTCATGAGCTTCTTACCGGCAGCAATTACAAATAGAGGAGCCATCCTACCGGATGCTGAGCCCGCCATTACTGCGGTCATGTGGTTGCTGCTCTTTTTGATGTCAACTTGGAATCCCCCGTGTCTGGAATTCTTTCCAACAAATGTGCGTTCTCGAATTCCAAACTGTGCGTCCACTTTAGTTTCATCCATATTCCAGACCCGATCTGGGTCATCAAATATACCGGGGTGATCCTGTCCCACCTTTTGAAGCTCCCGTGCCAAAGTCTTAACGTGCTCGTAGTTTTCGCCCTTTATCTTAGCCGCTT